ACCATGACCCCTCCCTTCCAAAAAAGCCAATGTTTGGGCCCCTGTGCTCCTGTCTTCACCTGGTATTATGGGCAGCTATAACTGGTGTCAAGTGCAGAAAGGGAAGCTACCTCAGATCTGTTTGGGGCATACATTATCAGCAGGGTTCCAGCAAAAAAACAGCACACTCAAATAAGATATTCAAGATAATTTAAAGACGGAACAATCTTCAAAGGTACAGGCAGGGTTTAGGGAAAGCAGCAAGGGATGGTGGCATACTCCCAGGCCAGCAACATCAGGAAGCCATTATCATTTCTAGGCCTACAGGGGCAAGTAAAGGGTTACCAGAACTCAGAAAGACCTGCAACTGTAGCAGGCTTGCAGAGAGGGCCATTGAACAGAAGCAGGGACCTACTCAAAAAACAGAACAGCTCTGGCAACACAATCCAGCAGCAGGGAACTGGCTCTTCCAGGCCTCCTACAGACGTCCCATTGGCCAAAGTCAACCAAAAACCAAAAGCAAGAGCTCAGTTGACACAGTCCATAGAAGTCGCTTCTCAGCACAGAGCAGGGTGGAGAAAAGATCTGGAGGAGCAAAAGGAGAAAATGCAGCACGGAAAGGTATTCTAAATGGCTACCACCCAGCAAAATACAGGCACATAAAAAGGTTTTGCCAGTTCCAGCTAATTCTTCTAGATATCATGGGACTGCCTGCAAAAGAGTCACAAAAATAGGTACTTACTTGGGTTCCATATCAAGTGGGGGAAGAAAAAAAAAAGATTCTAAGAGTAATTCCAGGTAACTTTTGTCATTTCTGCATCTCTAAGAGTAAACAGACAACCCAAATATCTATAATTATCAGATCCAAGACAACTCCCTTCTTTGTACTCAAAGGGCACCTATTCCATACCTCCATTATTACACTTATCATGATGTATTGTAACCTCTTGTTTATATGTTTCTCCTTCATTCGACTCTGAGCTCCTTTAGGGCAGGGATTATCTTATTCATCTTCGTATCCCTAGCACCTAACATAGACCTGGCAGAGTTAGCCTTCAATTAAAGTGCACTGAATCAACTGGTAGACCGACTGTCCATTAATTCACAGCCTAATGCCATGGTGCATAAAATCTGGAATGACCCTCAGCAATTCAACACTAACAAGTTTCATTCAAGACACGGTTTAACACATTGGGCAAAAACATAGCTACTTTCATACCAGTCCACTATCATTCTTTGTAGAGCAGCTTTTCTTGTGTGCTCAGATGATGTTTATAGCTTTTTCTACAATCATAGACTCATCATCAAAAGAGCCAGAGAAAGATGGGAAGACTATGCCATCTTCAGAAAGGAATCAAATACACATCCTCCCGCAAAATTCTCACTCTTTTTCCAAGAATTTACCAGCTCCACTGAAGGAACTAATAATTTGGATGTACTATATAGAGGAATTCACAGTTCACAGTGATGATAGTGTTGACTTAGGGTAGAAATGCTCACACGCACATGCACGCACACATGTAGGACATGTTTAACGATCACTTCAACAGACAACACCTTGGTAAAATTATGAAGTAGCCATGTAATACAATCACGTAACATCGTCATACTGAAATGGATATACTGTATGATGTTGGGGTGGTCATTAACAGAACCTGGAACATATTCACATTGTAATTATGAATCACTTTCACATAACCCTGTATTTATGAAGTGCTTAATCATCCTTTTGTTGGGATAGTCAACTCTTACCCATAGATTCTCCAAAGAAAAAGAAAAAAGTTAATGCCAAGTTGATAACCCTCTTCAAGCTATGATGATTTTACGCTGCCAAGTTGATAACCCTCTTCAAGCTATGATGATTTTACGCTGCCAATCTCCTGCCGTCAGTAAGGTGAATAAAAACCAAACTTAAAATGACTCAGATTCTACTAGAAAGGTGAGTTTGCTATAAAAATATATTGTCTTCCAAAACTCAGTATGAAAAAGTTTTGTATCTCTTGTACCACTGTTCTCTTTCATTGCTGTTTGTAACGGAGAGTTGATCTTGTTAAATCTAATGTTATCTTATATACCAAATTAAAATAAGTCAGTACTTCATTTTCTATTTAGGAAAAGGGAATTTGGGGCTTATCTTGACAATACACTGAATTACTTCAAAAGAAATTCTAGTAATACAAAAACAGATAAAATGTGTTTCAAATAGATCAGGTATCTTTTCCTAAAACACACAATGCATAAGTCCCCAAAACAAGCTTTTTCCTAAACCATCAAAGACATTTAAAATCGTAAACACAATTTTATCTTTTTGAGAGCCATCATAAATCTTGCAACTGTCAGATCAATGTAGCAATAACATTACTTTTACCTCTACAGGACAATTACGTGATGTTTCCATCATGTTGAACATATAGACTACCAGAACCTGTAATTTATAAAATCATACTACATATAGGTTCCTCCATTATATATGAATAAAAAACAAAAAACCGTACATCTACCATATGGCTGTGTTTAATTACATTAGCTTCAGCTACCTCAGAGCAGTATTATGTTTCATCCGTCCTAGTACAGTGCTCGGCCCAAAGAAAAAACATGTTTGTTTTATAAATTAATAACTCCCACAAGGTAGGAAAAGGGGAAGCTGATATATAATTCTGACAGTACAAAATATGTGGCAATGACAGGGTAATATCCAATACATTAGAATTATCAAAATTACTTCTGACCAAACATTTTCCTCTCCCTTCACTAAAATATAAATGAAGTTTAACCAGGCTCCACTGACACTGAGCACAGGTTAAAACACATTTTAAAATTTAACATCTTTACCAAAGGTAAACTTTTCACTGCAAATAAATTTGAATATATTTTAACGTAATTATTAATATGCCCTGACATCTGAAAGGATTACTTGTGTTTCTATAAAATAGTGTTCCAAAATTGTGTTTCCCTTTCCTAAACTTAATTTCTAAAATTCACTGTGGAGCTCTACAAGAAGTGTCTTGGTAAACAATAAAGACATTTCATAAATAAAAAAAGATTTTTCCTCAAAAAAAACCAGTAACACATTTTATAAAAATTCAGCAAGATTGCAAGCACCTAAATGGTCAGGTTTAAGGCAGGAAAGTGAAATACTGGATTAAAACCTGGGGAATGTCCTATCACTGAAAAGCCATTATTCAGACCTGCATCTAGGATGCTAAAATCACAGCTGTCCAACCCCGGCAACTTGCCAATACCATTACTTTGCTACTTAAACATAAGTAGCACTACCCAAACCCCGAGCTGGTCTTGTTGGGTTTTTTTTCCCATAACGTTTAAATAGTTCACAACATACTGCCTTACACAATACATATAAAAAACATGACAGAGCCTCCTTCCAACGCCTATCCCTTATCCAGACGACTTCAATCTTTTCTCGTCAAAAGAAAGGAGCAACTGGCAACCAGAAGCCCCAGAACTGAACTCTTCCATCAGGAAGAAAACGCCAAATCTGCTGCAGCCAAAGAATGTCTAGTCCTCCTTGCGGGCTGTCACAGGAGATGGAAAGCTACACCATGGCAAGGTCTGTGCAGAGAAGGAAACGGCAGGTCTCGGGCACTGCCCCCACCCCCCCAAAAAGGCAAGCTGCTTCTGATTCTGACATACAGGCAGAAACCTGGCACCCTCACATCCACGTAAAACCCGACAATTTACAATCTGGTTAACACCTTCTAATTAGGAACGTTCTAGCCTTTTATAGACAAAAAATTAAACTGCTTCCCACAAATAAGATAAACTAGGCACTGGAGCCTGTCACTGAGAAGCCCCAGCGCATCAGACCTCCAGTTTCGCTGCTGACCCTGATAAGCCAGTGACCAGGCTTCTCGACAGCAGAGAGGGGAGGAGCCCACCTCGCTCTGCTGGGAGTGGAGGGGGAAAGAGAGGACAGGAGCAAGGGACCGAGCGCAGAGGCGTGAACAGCATCCAAGCAGGGCTGGGCTCAGCGCACCGGCGGGCGACAGACAGACAGACAGCGGCGGCCGCGCGGGAGCCGGGGTGCAGGCTGCAAAGCGGGGTCCCCGAGCTGCGCAAGCCGCCCTCCGCGTCTCGCCCGGCAAAGGCGCGCACGTCAGGCACACACCCCCCACGCCGGACCGCGGCTCTCCGCGAGCCCCTCCCAGAGGACACACGCCCGCACCTACGGGGCACCCACCCCGGGCTCGCGCGCACACGCCCCTCGGGCGGGCGGCGCGTACGTACCCAGCAACACGCAGAGCACATCGAGGGCCACGTACGGGAGCCGAGTCTTGTCAAACATGGTCACGGCGCGGGCGGCAGACGAGGCACCCGATTCACGAGACCGGCCCCGAGCTACGGCTCCTCCCAGTCGGGGGAGAGCAGCCGAAGGCGGACTGGCACCGGGCGGCGCCCTGACGGCCGGCAATGGCGCCCAGGACCCCTCGCCTCGCAGCTCCCGCAACTACTCGGTCGGGGCCGAGAAGCTCGCGTGCTAGCCCGCTGCTCCGGGGCCTCAGGCCCTCCCCAGTTGGCCTCGGCCCGCCCCGGCTGTTCGCTGTCCGGATCCCGGCGCCCTCTCCACAGGCGGGGCGTCCGGACTCGTGCTTTAAGGATGGGGACCGGTAGGGAGGAGGAACGCGGGCCCAGCCCCTCCCGCCGGGCAGCGCAGGACCGGCCAGCGTTACGGCCTCGCGGGCTGAGGGAGCGAGCCAGAGCCTGGGCGGCCAGTGAGGGGGTGGCGGGGCGGGGTCGGGGAACCCCAGGCCGGAACGCGCCAGCCAATCAGCGCCGCCGGCCCCGCCCCGCCCGACCTGTAGAGCCCGCCCCCGAATGGGACGCGCGGCGGCCGGGCGGAGCGTGGGGGAACCTCCTGTGAGGTGCAAGGGCCGTGTCTCCCACCGGCAGTGCTCCGGTAGTCTCCGAACGCGGCTTTGTCTGCCCCCGCTGCCGGCCGTTGCTGCCTCAGAGGGAAAGCTAGGCCCCCGACCCGGCATCTTAGCGCGTCGGCTGCTTGCCAGCCCTCCTCCTCCGTGGGGATTGGGTAATAAAGAGGTCCTGGGTAGGCAGTGACAAAGACTCTCTCCTTGTCTAAGCTTGAGTTAGGTTCCTCTGAGCCCTCTTCTCGCCTAGGCCTCCACGTAAGCCTTCAAATCTGGCCTGGCTGAGCTCAGTATTAGCGTGAATCCTGCTAAATCATCCCCCCCCCAGCCTTGATATCTGATTACCTTTGATACGTGATCAAATTCCTTTATCTTCCACCTTTGCTATATAAGTCCTTGGCCTGCCTTTAGCAAGAATTCCCCTTACCGTAATGTTTCCTCTTAGTAATTTTCCATCCACTAACTCCCTCACTCTGTTAGCTATGAATTCCCAGCTGTCTTTGCTGTATTTAGAGTTGAGCACAATTTCTTTCTCCTATTGCAATAGTTATGACCCCCTACTGCAATAGTCTTGAGTAATATCTTCCTCACCATTTTAGCAAGTGTCAGAGTAATCTTTCTTTAACAGCAGTGAGCAATCCTCTCACCCCTGATTCCTAGAAAACTGTAGCGCAGATTTAGTAATCTCAGTTTCCTAATCTGTAAAATTGGGATGTTGATAATCTCTGCTCTGTGTTCTAGTCAAGAAGTGACAAATCCCGCAAAAAATAATATGAAAGTGTCTTATAAAAGGTTAACCCCCCTACAGATGTTAAGGATTTGTATCTTTCCTGCTTATTCATATCTTACTTTCTTATACAAAGGTGTGAGATGCAAATGGAAAGCTGTACCTACTACTTCTTAGACTTTTCCTGCAAAACAGCTCTAAAACCAATGAAGGGATAACATTACCCTCAAGGAGTGTAAAGATATAGCCTCAAGTGATCCTCCACAAGCAAAAAATGTATCTAAAGAAGCATGTTTTTCTTTAAAAGGAATGTGAATTTTGGATTTCACCTTTTGTTTGAATATCTTTTAAAAGCTTTAAACAATTTATACCTGAGAAAGATGTGTCATTGTTTATTCTGTGGCTTCTCTTACTTCCAGAGTTACAAGGACCCCAAATTGCAAGGCCACAATAAATTGAAATTACTTATGATGTGGAAGTATTAGGTATTCATTCAAAAAACAGTTTTTAGGACTGTGTGCCTAGTTTAGTCTAGGGACAGTGTTTTATTTAAACACCTTTTGAAACAAACATTTACTTTTAATATGCTTTTTCAGAAGCAAACACTCAAAAACCCTTGTTGATTAATGATTTTGTTTATTTTTTATTTACTCGTTCATTCTTTTTTTTTTTAATTTTATTTATTTATTTTTTCCCCCAAAGCCCCAATAGATAGTTGTATGTCATAGCTGCACATCCTTCTAGTTGCTGTATGTGGGACGCGGCCTCAGCATGGCCGGAGAAGCCGTGTGTCGGTGCGCGCCCGGGATCCGAACCTGGAACGCCAGTAGCGGAGCGCGCGCACTTAAGCGCTAAGCCACAGGGCCGGCCCCTACTCGTTCATTTTTTCAACATTTATTGAACCCTCAATATATACCAGACCCAGTGCACAGCTGTGGAGAGACTAAGATGAGCAAGAGAAGATCTCTGCCCTCCAGGAGCCTGCTGCCCAGTTAGGAAGACGGGCATGTAATTAAATGAACATTGTGTTAGAATTGTGTTAGTGGACAGCGGGCACACAAAGCAGTTAGTGGGCGTTTTACCTGGGAGCTCTGGAAACACTCTATAGGGAGGTAATAGTTACATTGTTCTTTCCTGTCCGTCTCCCACACCAACAGACATTGTCTCAGAGGTTGTCTTCTGTCGGAAAGAAGTAAAATAGTTGATACATTAACAGATTTTTTGCCCTTTGGAAGAGCTACAGATAATAGCTTTAAAAATAAATCAACAAAGCAAAGTCCATTGTTGTTCCCTGTGATTTCAAATGGGATCTGTGATTATCAACAGTAAGTCCTCAAATGAAGAGAATGACTAAGAAATGTTGTTTTGTTTTGGGGTGGGGATTTTCGTTTTTGGAGGAGGAGGTGTTTGTTTTAGTCTGTTGTCATGATTGGATTCTGGTGTGATCATTGGACTTGAGAATGAGTTAACTAACTTGAAATGATCGTGAAAATAATAAAAAAGAGACAGTGAATAGTGATGCCATTAACACTCCCTTCAGGATAGGTATGAGTGTGTCCCTGGACTGGACATGCAACTTCAGAGGCTTTCTTAACTGCTTAACAAAGTTTGTCCGTGGGCCTTTATTTTTCTCTCTATAATACAGCCATCAAACACAAAAGCAAAGTAGAGTAGGCTTGGGAAGAATAGTCCTGAAGACTCCCTGAAGAAGAGAGGAAACGAGTTTCCTCTCTTCTTTCATTACTAAGCATTTTGAAAAGGAGACTATAACCTACATCCTCCATTTCCACTTCCTCTTTAAATACTTCTGTATACCCACTTCTGTCCCCACTCCTCTCCTTGCACTGTTCTTAATTAAACATGCTAGTATTGGTAAGTCTCGCTCTCTCTGTTCTAACAGTGCTTCTTGTCTCAACTACTTTTTATTTCATAAAGTATCTACAAAGGAATAAGAATAAATTCCTTTAGAGTATTAGTGTTTGTATATGCTCATATCCTTTCTCCCCACCTGGACTGAAGCAAATACAGTTTTTATTATACTCAGATTATAAAACTAAAACCGTTAAAAATGTAAATATCTGGTTCCCCAGTACATGTGCCTCCCCCTCAAAAAAAATTTCACAATACGGCGTATTATAATCCTCTTTACACTTATTATCAAAGGTATTTGTTTCTTATCTTGTTAGAATTTTTTATTATGTAATATTTGATACATAAATATATATAACATATAAGTTATGAAGCATTATAATAAAATAAGCAACTGTGAATCCACTTTTCAACTTAATACCTAGACTGTTGCAATATCATTGAATCTGCCTGTGTGTTCTATCCCTTTCGTGTTCTCTGCTTCAGGAAGGGTAACCACTATCCTGAATTTTGTGTTTATCTTTTCCTTGCTTTGTTTTTTCCCTGTGGAAAAACATATAACCACATGTATATGTATCTCTAAAAATATATATTGTTTAGCCTTCTTGTTTTTTATCTTCTAAAACAGTATGCCATATAGGTAGTCTTCTGCCCTTGATTTTTTTCACTCGTAATTATATTTCTTACATCCATTCATGTTGCTGCAATTGTTGTAGGTGTGTCATACGAATATATCATTTTATTCCTTCTTCCGACAATGGCCATCTGGGTTATTTTCATTTTTGCTATTACAAATAATGCTGCTGGGAACATTCATGTGTGTGTCTCCTGTGTGGAATTGCTAGCTGGAACTGCTACATCATAGGGTATGCCCACATCTAACTTCATTAGATAATCCCGGATTATATTACTAAGTGGTTATACCATTTTACCACCCCTACCAGCGGTGGATAAGACTCCACATTTTTGTCAACACTTAAATTTTGAGATTCTTAATTTTTGCTAATTTAGTGGGTATAATGGATATCTCAGTGTAGTCTTAATTTGCATTTCCCTGATCACTAATGTGATTGGGTGTCTTTTCCTAAATTTATTAGGAAAAATGTTTCCTCTTCTGTCAATTGCCTATTCACATCTTATGCCTATTTTTCTATTAGGGTGTTTATCTTATTTTTATCAAACTGTAGAAGTTCTTTGTATATTCTCGAGTAATTCTTTGTTTTGTAAATTTTTCCTTCCAATAATATGGATTGTCATTTCACTTCCTTTATGAGCAGCTATGTGACAGAGTTCTTGTAAATGTAAGCAAAAGTCTACTGGCAAGTTTCTGTGAAAGTTTCTGCTTTCCTGACCAAAGGAAAAGACTGGCTTCCCTTCCTTTCTTTTTCTACCTTCCTTGAACGCGGACATGATATTTAGAGCTACAGCAGCCATGTTGTGATCCTGAGGGAAAGGTCAAGAAGAGTAGTGTGACTGGTCTTTATAATGTTGAGCTACTAAAACAACCAGCAACTAGCTACCTCCAGATTTCTTCTTATGTGAGGAAAAAAAATTGCTTAAGCCTCAAATATTCACAACTGATACATGACTCAAGAGTACGTTGATTCCTATTTCTGAGAAATCACATGTCATGTTCTAAGAAAACCTTTTACTTGAGCTAACTTAATTGATTTTCTGGTCCTTGAAACCACAAAGACCTGAATAAAACAATTTGGGTAAGATGGAAAAGAGTGCTGAGGGAGAATGGGCTTTGGAGATTGAAGAATGGTTTGAGCGTGGAGGCAAAACAAATGACTTTTTCTGAACTGTTTGAGTAGGAAAGGCTGTGAAACAACCCACATTGAGGATTAGTGGAAGATAAGGTTCTAGAAGGTAGGTTATAGTAGTTTGTAGCTAAAAAATGTGAAAGCAAAGAAAACTCCCTGAAAATACATAATGACATGCTGCAAACAGTTATTTAAAACAAGTAATCCAGTAGTGAGAGGAAGTCATGATCTCTGCAGTGGGCTGTAAACTAAAGATGGGTAAACCTTATTTTGTAAACCAGATTGTCTAATTTCAAGTCCTTTTCTATATTTATTTCCATTTTATTATCTTCTATCTTTCCTAAAATCTTATTTATGGCTTCCAGCCCTTTTTCAGTTTTGCTGCAGGGTATTAAAGGAAAAGTCTTCTGTTAACTCTTGAGCCAGTCTACAAATGTGAGGCAGTAGTTGCAATGGTTAGTGAAAAACCATGAAAAGGAGGTGAATCTCTAGGATCAGAGTTGGGGCCTCGTGGATGGGCAAACCAGCTCCACCAAGATATTTTTCCACCAAGACTCGCCTTCAGTGTCAAGCTTGAAGGGCCTGAGTTTTATGTTGTCGTTTTTTAGGAAGCCAGTATTTTCTTAATAGACTTGCTGTGATGATCAAATCCAAAAATATAGGTACAATTGCCTGTCAGATGTCTGATCTAGACAGACACACAATACGCATTTTTTTCAGAACAAAGATTTCTGTGAATCCACGTCCATTTCTGCTTCCCTACCGCCCACTCCACCCCACATCTACCATGGTTGCCTAATCTACCAAAGCAATGGGGCTGCTCTGATGTGACTTGTTCTTAGTAAATCCACACCTGGCCCTGGTGGTCACCACTTCCTTTCTCTAGGATGCTCACAAATTATTTCTTTAACAATCTCTTAAAAAATATATCACCAGAGATATAGAAGTTAATTACTCGTAAAAATATCTACAGTTGTAAAGATATCACAGATTTTTCTTTAAAAAAAATCTTGGGGCCAGCCCAGTGGCTTAGTGGTTAAGTGCGCGCGCTCTGCTACTGGCGGCCTGAGTTCGGATCCTGGGAGCGCACCAACGCACCGCTTCTCCGGCCATGCTGAGGCCACGTCCCACATACAGCAACTAGAAGGATGTGCAACTATGACATACAACTATCTACTGGGGCTTTGGGGGGAAAAAAAGGAGGAGGCTTGGCAATAGATGTTAGCTCAGAGCCGGTCTTCCTCAGCAAAAAAGAGGAGGATTAGCACGGATGTTACCTCAGGGCTGATCTCCCTCACAAAAAAATAAATAAAAATAAAAATAAAAAAAATCTTGGATAGGATTGCCATCCAGTTACTGGTCTTCTTACTGGTCAGAATCCACCTTCTTCACCTGTTTTAGAAATCATACTAAAATTCACCCCTCTCTTACCTTCCGATTCCTTTTCTGTTCGTAATCCCCGGTTTGTGCTCTCCTAACCCTCGTCTCTGTATTGATGTAATTGGTTAACTGAGCTCCTTAAGCAAAGGGAGTAGGCCTTCTTCATCTCTGTATTCCCAGCTCCCAGGGTTGTACTTGGCACAATGAAGTCACAGGCAGTTAAAAAATATTGCTGGAATAAACAAACAAATGAGAAAAAGAAAAGTGAACAAGAGTTCAGGAGACAGTGAGCTGTGCCCTCCATCCATTTTTGTTGTTGTTATTCTAGCTTTCTTCCCCCCAAATTTAAGCTTGTCTGGAGGTTCCTGCCACTATTCTGAGAGGTCCACGGCACCACTTTATACACACTTTGTGTCCTCAGTACTGTGAACTACTTTAAGAAGTGGATCTATCCCCTTCTAAGTGACTATATTATGGAATACTTCTGATTGGACTGCAAAGGAAACTTATAGGTCTTCCTCTGCTTTTATTCCTCATTAAGCTCAGAGTCAGGGCTGGGCCCTGTGGCTTAGTGGTTAAGCGCGCACGCTCTGCTACTGGCGGCCCCGGTTAGGATCCTGGGCGCGCACCGACGCACTGCTTCTCCGGCCATGCTGAGGCCGTGTCTCACATACAGCATCTAGAAGGATGTGCAACTATGACATACAACTATCTACTGGGGCTTTGGGGAAAAAAAAGGAGAAGGATTGGCAATAGATGTTAGCTCAGAGCCGGTCTTCCTCAGCAAAAAGAGGAGGATTAGCACGGATGTTAGCTCAGGGCTGATCTTCTCACAAAAAAAAAAAAAGAAAGCAGACACACACACAAAAAAGATCGGAGCCAGAAATGCATTTCTAGAAACTTCCTAACCCTCAGAGCCACCGTCACTTTCAGTTTTTCACCTAACAAATTTCATTTAACTTTCTTTTGGACTTTAAAAATGCTGTCTTTGTAAAATGTATGGCAATGATGCCCAAACTTTGCACGTTAGAATCATCTTGGGTGTTGGTTAAACATACAAGTACCTGGCTCCAG